CGGGCAACAGCAGCTGAGCCTCCTGCGCCATCCCCGCGTGAATCCCAGTCGGAATTGTGTGCCGTTCCCCACGTGCTCTTCTGCTCTGCCTTTGTATTCTTTCTCCTTTGAATCGTGAAATCTGAGCGCAGCCTTTGATGTGCCTTGTTCTGTACAGAAACAAAGCCCCAAAAAAAAATAAAAATTAAAAATAAAATAAAAATCGTGTTTTCTCGCTACAAAGTTTTCCCGGCTCTTCTTTAATCGTGCTCTGAATCTGCCCTTAAATACCACAGAAACGTCTGTCTGCTGATGTGGAAAGAGATGCTCCTTGTTCCAGTTATTTATACTGTATTATCCCCACGCTACATTTTTGTAGTTGTTATTAATTTCAGTTAATGTTTCTAATGTAAATTAACTCCATCCCAGCCAAAAGCAGCTCCTTGTGACACTGGGTCTGAACACTGCCTTGCCAGTGCCTGCTTGGTACTTGCACTGAGTTTTCAGTTCTCTTTATTGCCTTTCAAATGAAAAAAAATAGATTTTGGAGCAATTGAGCTTGAGTATTCAAATGTTTTGGCCACCTAAAATAGTTTAGCCTCATTGTTTTGTTGAGGAGCCTTTATTTAAGGGGATATTCTGTGCGTTAACCCATTTTAATGTACAAAACATAAATACACCTATTTGATGTTCTGCTTTCCCATTATTGGCTTCAGAAGTGCAGTTTGCACAGCACTGGTATAATCCTTGAAGCAGGAGCTGCCTCAGCCACCAGCCCATAGAAACTCCTTTCAGCTGCTCAATTGCTGAATTTGTTCTGGGTTTTTTTGCAAGAAACATCATATTTACTATAATATGTAGTGTTATGGGTACAATATTTGATACTGCCTCCCTCAGAAACTGGATGTCAGATTGTTTTGTACCACTGGCTGTAGTGGGTACAGTGGAGAGCTGTGCTGGAGTAGCTGCTTCTCTTTAATCCAGCAGGAAGGTTTCTAGATGCTCCAGCTCCCAATATTCCTTACTGTTGCACACTCCAAGAGAGCCAGAGCCCCTGTGCTGCAAGTATTGCTAATGCTTCTCTTCACAGTACCACCACTTTTTGTCCTGGTTGATGAGCAGGAGGTCCTGGACAGGATTTTCGCAGCTGCAGTCTCACCCCTGTGTTCGTTGCCTGTCCTGGGAAGGAGTTGCCTCTGCTGCAGTTTGCCAGGTCTGGGACCACAGAGTTCACACTTGCATTTAGGCTATTCTAAGCCTGTTGTTATGGCTTGGACATGTCTCAGGTTTGCTCACTGCATATTTCAAAGCTGTGACAGTACAGTTAAAACGTAATCTCTTCTTTCTCTACCATTAGTCACTCGGCATCCGAAGAAGCCTCTGGCTCTGACTCTGCAAGCCAGTCTGAGAGCGAGCAGGGCAGCGAGTCCAACAGCAGCTCCGAGTCCTCTGAGAGTCAGTCTGAATCTGAAAGTGAATCTACGGGTTCCAAATCCCAGCAGACCCCTCCTGAAACCAAAGAAAAACCAGCCTCTAAGAAGGAAAGGATAGCAGATGTTAAAAAGGTATTGCCCCTGCTGCTCTGCACAGACACGTTACCCCAGTACCCACCACGCAAGGGCAGACAGCAGGAACTCAGTGAAGCTCTCTCCAACTTCCAGGCCATTTTGCACATGGGCCAAACAGCCTCCAGCCTCTGATGTCCTCAAGATGCTCTCTGGCTGTTTGGTCTGTGTGCTTGAGCCCTGCTGATGGCATCTTTGTGAGCAGGAGCTCTTGTGTTTGGTGGAACAACCCTTTGGGCACCAGATAGACAGTGACAGGGCTGACTGGTGCGAATGAGGGACAGGTGCCTGTCATCAACACACGATCCTGTCATTTCATCCTCTCCCTCTGTCTTTCCACTCTTCTCGTCTCTCTCCTTCAGAAGTAGTGAAGACTCCTCCATGTGATACATGATCAGGAGGTTTGTCTAAGAGTTTGGCCACTTTGGTTTTTTTTTTTGCATCACTGTCTCCCTCTGAAAAAAGCATAGGAAAAGAAGGAGAAATAAAAAAGCTGTTTAGCTGTTACAATTTTTATGTCCGGAACAGGGGTTCTTTGTTGTGTTTTTCTTCCTGCAGCTTCTCAGCTACTCCCTAGCAATACCCACAACAAGAGCCAGGTTTTCCCTCCTCTTGTTGCTGCCCAAGAGGAAAAGGGATTGTGTGTGTTAATGCACATGGTGTCCTCTGCACCTCCCCAGTGCAGAAGCTGCACCTTGGTTACCTGAGGGATGGAGGCACCTGAATACCACAGTGTAGTGTGAGGTGAGAAAGAGGAGCCCAGATACCCATTTGGAAACAGGAACTCGGTGAACTAAGTTCACTTGGAGGGAGGAAGATCAGGTTAGGTTAGTTTGTTTGCCTGTGGTGTGTAACCATCCTGTTATTGTTAGCTGTGGGTTGCACTGCACACAGCTTGCTTATGGAGAAAGTTGCTATGTGTGTAAAGCCTGAGAAGGAAGGGCAGTGCTTCCAGCCTGCACTCCTCACATACTTGCCAGGGAGAAGTGGAGGATTTTGTTAGCAGCTTCTCCCTCTCACAAATCTCCAGGCTGCTGGCTCAGGTCATGGCTAAATCCTGTAGTGTTTAAACTGGCCTGGGAGGATGTGTTTATAAGGCAGCTGTGTAACACCATATTCAAATTTCTGGTTTATTGTTGATAAGTGGGGACTGAAGGAAGTTTTCTCTTCATCTTGAGGCCTTCTAAGAGCATGTCCTGAACAGTAAATATTAACATTAGCCTATGAGGAAGTGCATCCATACATAGAGTGATAATTAGCATGGATGAAACATGAAAAGGTCAGGACACCCTCTAATAAGAAAGCCTCTCCCTTCCTTAATTTCTTTGTTAATGGGTGTTTTCCTTAGCTAGGCCTAATGTAGTCATGTTGATACCTGCTCCCCTTGAATAACCAATGCAATTAATTATTATATAATTGTTTATTTGGTATTTATCTAGATACATCCGTGAAGGTAAGGTCAATCTGTGTTAGGTGCTATTCAGATTTGTCATGGGAGCCTATCCTGCATTCAAAACCTGTGCCATTTAATAGATCAAAACCCAAGTTCTTAGAACGGTTCAGGGAGCATCTTGATTTATTCTTTTGTGTGGATTTATCTCTGTACTTGCATGCCCAACAGATACACACCTTTGGAGTCTGTCTGTTGCACTGTTATCCCATTACTCCTTTAACAGAGGCAGAAAAATTGCTGGGCTGCAGCCTTGGATTCATCACCCTCTCAATCCCAATCACTGCTGCATCTGGCAGTGTATTTTGATTTCCTGCCCGTGGCTTACAGAGATATTTGAGGACTGAAGGAAGAGAATGGGAAGGGGAATTAATAGGTTTAGAAAACTGTAAGAGGATAAGCTCTGCTGAGGGAGAGAGGGATTGCTGGTGTGTTTGAGGAGCATGGTGGTGGTTTGTGTCTGCCCTGTAACCCTTCTGGTGTCCTGTGTCACCAACACAGCTCTGCATTCACACCCCTCAGGATGTCTGTTCTTGTCTCCCCCTTCTCCTCCTGTACATCCACCAAAACAATTGCATGCTGTTACACATGGTGTATTAAACTGGTTAGGGCCTCATTACAGCAAATAGAGCACAACCATTCCCAGTAGCCAGCTCTGCACATCCACGAGTCCCACGCTGCCAAACTGCATTCTCATCAGTGCATTCAGGAGAGGAACCAGCCACCACTGCCTTGCCTTGCCAAAGGACAGGGTGCCCTGCTCTGTTTGCCATCCAGGCTGGGCCATGGAACTCTCTTTGGAAGTTGCTGCTGGCTCATCACTGGGCTCGTCAGGCAGCTGGTGGAATTTCCCTGTGGTGGAAGCTGTTACCAACAGAGAATTGTCCTGTTGAGTTGGTAGGTTCATTCCATGTGCAAGGTGTTGCCTCCTTACCTTCAGCACTGTTGCTGCAGAGGAGTTGCTGCCTGAACACTGTCCTTCATCCTGAGCAAGCTGGAGAGTGATTTGTACCCCAGTGGAAAGATGGACCACTGTGAAGATAACACTGAGATAAAACACGCTGCTTTACAGTGTTGCCAAATACCCCAACATAATCATAGTCTTTTTTCAGCCAGTTTTTTAAAGTGTCCATCTACTGGTTGCTAATTCCCTAATGGTTTTATGTTGAATTTTAAAAAAGCACCATCGAACCTCTCTCAAATGTCAGAAGTAATTGGGGTGAAGCAGGCCTGCTGATGGTCTGTTTATTTTGCAGATGTGGGAAGAATATCCTGATGTTTATGGGGTTAGGAGGTCAAACCGAAGCAGACAAGAACCGTCACGATTTAATATAAAAGATGAGGTAAGGAGAAAAACAAAAAGGATGAGGGATTACTGAACATATAAACCCACCCAAACCCAGAGAGCAGAGGGAGGTCTCGTCTGCATTGCCTTGTAAACACTGAGCCCTAGCTTGGTGTGTGGATGTCGGAGCTCTCAGTTGAGGTCCTAGTCCTGCAGCTGGATCTGCTTGGCCTGAGACCTCTGGAGTCAGCGGGACACTGCGTGGGCTGAGATCTGCATGCACTGATCTGATTGCTGGAATGGGGCGGAATGCAAGTCATGCTCTGCTGCAGGAACATCCTGGAGAGAATGAGTCTGTGTAATAATAAACAAGAACAAAACACAACACAAATCCGACCAGGAATAAAGGAAAGTTCCCAGAAACACCTCATAGCAACAAAACAGTCATTGTTGCCCATCCTGGAATGGGCTGATAAATGCGTTTGCCTGTGTGCAGCTTTATGAGCCATCACTTTTCTTTGGTTGGCTATTGGGGAATCTTTTATGCTTCGGCTGGAGGTGACAGTGGTCAGAGCCTGGCAGCCAAACCTTCTAATTGTTCCTTTTTCAGAACATTGTTGGTTCTTTTTTCTGGAGAGGTAGGAATTAGCTACCCCCTTAATTTGCACCTAACAGGCTTTCTGCATGGAGTGTTTCATCTGAAGGTCTTCAGGAAGGACAAGTAGCTATAGCAGAGGGGAAGGAGAACCAGAGAGAGGCTTCCATGGAAAGCTTGGGGCTTAGGGCTAGGAATATAAAGATAAATAGCAGACTTTCAGCAGAGGAGGAGCCCAGTGGTGCTCTCTGACTCAGGCTGTTTGTGCTTCACCACCAAAACGTGTATTTGGATGCTCGAGGAGTCTGAGTTGCGTGGCAGACACAGTTCTCCACCTCATTGCTCCTGTGCGTTATTGTTGAGCCTTGCAGCACCTCCAGTGTTTCCACCTGCCCCCCCAGACTCGTGTGCTGGATGTCCCACAGAGCAGCAGGTTAGGAAGGGGCTCAGGGCACACCATTGGTGTAGCTTTTGTTTTCCTTTTCAAGTCCGGAAGGGCCAGGCTCACTGGCCACCTCTGTGTGATGGCCTGGCATGCACTGTGCCAGCGATGTCACACCCACCCCAGGCCTCTGCTGCACACCCCAGTGCCCTCTTGGGGGCTCAGGTAAGTCCCACCTTTTTTTGTTTTACAATATTACGTGGTTTTGCAAATGTTGTTTTCCTTTTCAATATCTTCATTTCCTACTACTTAAGGTACGATAAAGTTTAAAAAAAAATCTGAGATGCAAAAACTTTGCTATACCACAAAATATTGTAAAAAAAAAAAAGGTCCCCCAAATGACTTCACTGCAAGTTTTGTGAAACAGAAAGCCCTTTCTCTCCCCAGGGCAACACTGACTTGTCCCCATAGGGCAACTCCCATCTGCAGCAGAGTCTGATGGAGGGTGTGACATGTCAGGAGTGCTGTGCTGGGGCCTCGCAGAGAGCAGGAGGAGATGGAAAAGTCTTGCTCTTCGAAGACCTAAACACCAAGAGAG